TAAAAAAATGGAGTATTATAGTCTACCCCCCTTAAAAGAAGTTTCGTTCTTGAAACTTGAGCACGAAAATAATAAAATTTTGTTCAAAACTTGCTTAAAATTGTGTTTTTTCACCCACTAAGTAAATTTTTTTCTTAATACTAATAGTTGCTGTACTTTTTGTAACCTTTCTTATTCTCTTTCTTTCTAAACTTTGTATAAAATTGTGCAAAATATACTAATAAATGCACAAAAATGCTTGAAATGAAGGTAAAACGCTCGAAATTCTACCGCATTCTACCCCCCTTAAAGAAGACGAGTTACGACCCCGTAACTCAACTAACCTCAAACAGTTTTGGGTTTCTTTCTCATTTCATCTTCAACTTCCCATGTCGCTTCCTCAGTTTCTTGATTCGACCATAAAACCTTCACTATCTTCACATCCTTCTTACGTGTACTACGCACTTTACTATCAAGAATCTTTATAGGTATTTTCTCATAGGTTAGGCTTTGGTCTAGTTTTATGGTTACAGGTTGTAAAACATGCGACTTGTCTGGGATGTACCTTCTCAACTGAGAAACATGAAACACATCATGTACCTTATTAAGGTCCATAGGCAATGCCAATCTATAAGCAACTTTACCTATCCTTTGCAAAATCTCATATGGTCTAATGTACTTTGGACTCAATTTCCCCCTTTTTTTTTTAAATCTCATGACTCCTTTCATTGGTGAAACCTTAAGCGATACTTTGTCACCAATTTCGAATTCCTATTCCTTACGCTTCAAATCTGCGTAACTCTTTTGCCTGTCTTGAGCAGCTTGAATCTTAGCTTGGATTTCTCTCACTTGCTTCGTGGTTTCTTCTATTAATTGAGGACCTAGAATTATTGTCTCACTTATGTCACTCCAACATAGTGGACTTCTACACTTCCTTCCATATAAAGCCTCAAATGGTACCATGCCAATACTTGCATGGTAACTATTGTTTTAAGAGAATTCTACCAAGTCTAAGCTATCTTCCCATCCTCCTTGGTAATCTAAAACACATGACCTTAACATATCTTCCAAGGTTTAGATCATTCTTTCAAATTGTCCATCCGTTGTAGGGTGGAATGTTGTACTCATCTTCAGTGTCGTACCAAAGTTCTCCTGCACACTTTTCCAGAATTTCGAAAGAAACATAGAATCTCTATCTGAAATGTTATCCTTAGAACTTCATGTAGTCTCACAACATTTTTGATGTAAGCCTTTGCAAGTTGTTCTAATTTCCAAGTCTCTTTCATTGATATAAACACTGCCGATTTGGTAAGTCTATCCACCACAACCCAGATGATATCATTTCCAGTCTTTGACTTAGGTAAACTAGTGACAAAATCCATCAAGATGCAATCCCACTTCCATGCTCGGATTTCGAGTGGTTGCACTGTTCCTTGTGGTCTTTTGTGCTATATCTTAACCTTTTGAAAGGTTAGGCATTTAGCTACAAACTCTGCCACTTCTTACTTCATTCCATGCCACCAATACACCTTTTTCAAATCCGTATAAAGCTTATCTCCTCATAAATATGGTGTATTATGTCCTTCTTCCATCAACTTCTCCTTTAATTTCTCACACTTTCGTGGCACACACCATCACCCCTTAAATCGTATACTTCCATCATCATAGATTTTGAAATCAGTCGCCTTCCCTTTCTTGATCTTCTCCCTTATGCGTTCTAATTTCACATCCCCTACTTGGTTATCCTTAATCTCATCAAATATCGTTGGTTGGACACTCAAATTATTTAGTATTCCTTCCAATGTTCCATGTTGTACAACCTCAAGGTTCAACTTACTCGTTTCTCTACAAATCTCATCTGCCACAACTAAAGCGTTCACCCCATGAGTTGCTTTATGACTCAAAGCATCTGCGACTACATTCGCTTTACCCTCGTGGTATTGATGTTTAAGTCATAGTCATTGAAGAATTCTAACCACCTACGTTGCCTCATGTTCAATGTTGATTGCGTGAAAAGATACTTCAAACTATTATGATCGTTAAATATCCTATATTTCACTCCATACAAATAATGCCTCCATATTTTTAACGCAAACACTATTGCTACAAGTTCTAGATCATGAGTAGGGTAGTTAAATTCATGTTTCTTCAATTGTCTCGATGCATAAGCAATCACCTTCCCATGTTGCATCAAAACACATCTAAGTCCATTCTTAGATGCATCACTATACACATCATACGAACCACTCCCATCAGGTAAGGTTAACACTGGTGCTGTTGTTAAGCTCTTTTTCAAGGTTTGAAACGCTTCCTCACACTTATCACTTCATATGAACTTAGATTCCTTCTTCATCAACGAAGTCATAGGTCTACCTATCTTTGAAAAGTCCTTCACAAATCGCCAGTAATATCCAGCTAGGCCTAGGAAACTTTGAATATCCTACACATTCTTAGGTGTTGGCCACCCCTTCACAGCTTCAATCTTTGCAGGGTCTACTTCCACTCCTTCCTTAGATATGAAATGCCCCAAAAATGCTACCTTCTCCAACCAAAACTCACACTTCGAGAATTTGGCATACAACTGGTTAATCCTTAAAGTAGCTAACATTGATCTTAAATGCTCTGCGTGGTCCTCTTTATTCCTTGAATAAACAAAAATATGATCAATAAACACTACAACAAATTGGTCTAGTAAAGGTTGAAACACTCTATTTATCAAGTGCATAAATATTGCAGGTTCATTTGTCAACCCAAAAGGCATTACTGTAAACTCATAGTGTCCATACCTCGTCCTAAATGCCATTTTCGGAATGTCCTCTTCCGTAATTCGTAGTTGATGATATCCAGACCTCAAATCAATCTTAGAAAATACTAGCACAACTTTTAACTAATCAAACAAGTCATCTATCCTAGGCAAAGGGTATTTGTTCTTTATGGTTACCTTGTTCAACTCCCTATAATCGATACATAGCCTCATGCTACCATCCTTCTTCTTCATAAACAATACAGGAGCTCCCCTTGGTGACACACTTGGTCTTATGTACCCCTTCTCCAAAAAATCCTGTAATTGTCCTTTTAGCTCACTAATCTCTGCAGGTGCCATCCTATATGGTGCCTTAGAGATAGGTGCTGTTCTAGGTACTAAGTCTATAGTGAAATCTATGGCTCTTTTTGGTGGCATACCCGAAATCTGTTGAGTGTCATTTATGGCACTCATAGGGTAGTTTTCTTTGTAGTTTTATGCTCATTTTTAGATTTTTATGTCGTGTTTTTAGGTAATAATGCTTTCTTTGCGTGCTTGTGTGTTAGTCTAGAAAAATGCATGTTTTTATCGGTTTTATTATCCTTTTTATGCATTCCTTTGATATTCTCTCGCTTTTCGTTTGGTTTGATTCGTTTTATAGGTGTGTCGGGATTTTTCGAGGTTCAAATGTTGAGGAGGAAGCCCAACACGAGATTTGGAAGTCAACAAAATTAAGTCCGGGAAGTTATAGAGCAAGCAAACCAAGTTAGAAGTCAATGCAAGGTTGCTTGGGTAAAGAATGCATGCCTAAGAATTGGAGAAGATGATTTGCTTTTGTGTTGGGCATACAAAGGATGCTCGGCCGAGTGGCTCGTCATGCCCAAGAATCCTTCCGCACCAAGCATCTGCCGCGCGCAAGTAGCAACTCGGGCAAACAACATCTGCTTGGCCAAGCACTACCCGAGCCAAAAGAGGGTATTCTCGGGCATAGTCATTTGCTCGGCCGAGCAGATCAGTATGCCCGAGCAGCCCTGTTTTGCGGTTTTGCTTATTTTTCTTCTATTTTCTCTTATAACTTTAAATATGTACGGACCTTCTATTTTGGGTAGACTTCATTTTTAGCATTTTTAGAAAGAGATTAGTTAGGCTAATTAGAGAGAGAAACTAGAGAGAGAAAGTGTAGATTTCAACATTTGATCTTTAATTCAATCTAATCCAAGTTTAATTCTCTTTTGATCTTCAAGTTTGTAAGATTTCTTTTTCTTATTTCTTTTAATATTTGCATTTAAATTTTGATGTTGATAAAATTTCAATTTGATTTTGCTTTTTTGAACTTGATTAGCTTAATTGATTAATTTTTTTTATTACATTTGCAATTATGATGATGATGATTAGCTTTGTTTTGTTTCTTCAATTCATAATGAGTAGTGAGTAGATTTCTTAGCTAGGGTGTTGGGGAAGCATGTATGATTGATAGATTGTTGCTAATTTGGGTATTTTGATCTATAGATGGTTGTGATTAAATTGATTGATGGATTTGTGCATGTGTTTAGTTTGATAGGATTGATCAACCTAGATTTCTATACTTGATTGCATTGATGATCTTGATGACATGACCACTTGATTTGAGATTGTCAATTTTCAATTTATTTGAATTGTGATTCTACTAGTTTGTCATTCATAGCGGAAACCTAGCTTGACAATTAGTCTAGGTAGCCTTTTGAACTCTTTAATTGCAAATACCATTAGTCCTTGCAACACTTATTACTTCAATTTACCCCCAATTTGGCACCTCAATCATGATTATATGTGGAACTTAATCCCTAGCATTTTTGTGATGGATTCTTTCTCTATTACTTGTTTTGCTTGATTAGTTATTCACAATATACTGATACACTCGCTTCGAAGTAGCTTAACACAAGACTATAGTGATAGACCCCCATTCCTCGTGGTTCGACTTGGACTTGCCCCTATACTAGGAGTAGGTTTGATTAAAAATTTAGTTGACATAGGTGAGCTAGTTTAACGACCTAGTTTCTACCCTTGTCAAAATCTCTTTTGGAAACACATCTAAAAATTCATTCACTACTTCAATATCCTCAGGTTTAGATGGTTCCTCATACTCCAAGTTTCTCGCACTATAGAAATTAATTGGATTCTCTTTCTTCATATACTTTGCCAACTTCATCACATAAATGATCTTAGTGTGCCTGGGTTTTCCATGCCTCTAATGGGTTACGAGCTCTCCCCGAGCCGTTTTCAAGCGGATTTTTTGTGACTAACATCGAATCTCAGCATTAAAGCGACATAACCAATCCATCCCCAGAATTATATCAAGGTCTCCTAGTTCAAATTCAATCAGGTTGGACATAAATTCCTTCCCCTTAATCTTTATAGGAACATCCTTATAGATCCTAGTACAATGGACTACACCCCCGATTAGAAGTTCTATAGGAATATCTATGTCATCTACAGTTTTTGGACAATGCAACAATTTTGGGATTATAGCCTTAGAAATGAATGAATATGTTGCACCAGAATCAAATAAAACTTTAACAAGAACCGAGTCTGTAGATAATGTACCAGAAATGACATCTCTCGCTGCTTCAGCCTCACGCAAACCTATCACATTAAACTTCCCTGGTGTTCCACCCTTGACTTGTGTGTTCCCACCATTGGTATTCTTATTCCTACTCTGAAACTGCGCCCCCTTGTTCACTTGATTCCCATTGCTACCTTGACCTCCTTTCTTCTGGTTCTAGTTCTGTCCATTACCCTTAAACTGATTGTTTCCTTGACCCCCTTTATTCTTAGAGAAACAGTCGTATGCCTTGTGTCCTTGCTTGTTACACAGGTTAAAAGTGACTAAGTTACCCTCATAGTCTGTTCCCGGGTGATTGTTAGAACATCTCTTGCAATAATATATCCTTTGATTACGATCTCCAGATTGGTTCCTATTTCCCCTAGGAAAGTTGTGCCCACCTTGGTTGTTCCTATTGTTCTGGAATTTATTACCTTGGTGGTGATTAAACTTTTGCTTCTTAAAGTTATTCTGGTTCCTAGATGGTACAGAACTAGTCATAGGCTCCTTTCTTTTCTCCCTAGCTTCCAAATCAGCCTTTTCCTTCAACTCCAACGCATGTAAATGCACTGCCCTACCATATAACTCATCAAAGCTATCAAACACTTTCCCTGACAACTTGCCTTGGAGAGAAAGAGGCAATCCCCTCTCAAACCTTCTAGATTTCTGCCTATCAGTAGTCACGGTATCTTCAGCAAACCTTGACAGCTCGATGAACTTAGTGTAATACTCTGTCACTGACATACTCCCTATCTTAAGTTCCAGGAATTCATCAGCTTTCTGCTTTTACAAGAACATTGGGTAGAACTTATCCCTTACTCTCTCCTTGAACACATTCCATCCAAATTTAGGTTATGCTCTCACAGTTTTCTCATTTTGCTACCACCACAAATCTGCTTCACCCCTTAAGTAGTAAGCTACACTTCTCACTTTGGACTCATTAGGACATACTACTGCCACAAACAACTTATCAAACTCTCTTAGCCAGTTTTCAAGGATAGTTGGGTCAGGTTCTCCCTGGTATGTAGGAGGTTTGCTTTGGGATATCTTCTTAAACAACTCACCAGCAGGGTTTGTATTGTTATTGTTATTCCTTTCATCTAACTGTTGAGCTACAGTAGCTAGTTGCCTTACTACTTCATTTAGATCAATGTTATTGTTGTTTCTCCCTACCATCCTACTAATAATTCAAAACATTTGATTGGTTTTCACGCAACCATTTCACTTAAATAAGCACATCACGAAAACATTTTGAGTCATTTTCCTTGGTACCATTAACATAAATAAAAGTAAGAAATGGCACTTGATAGGCTTGGTTGATGATTGAAATGAATAAGAAAAGAATAAATGGTATTTTATTGCAATAATGAAAAGAAATGTTTGGAATATCCCAAATGTAGCTTTACTACTTATTACTCATATGCTATACTTTATTAAACTGCAACTATAAATAAAGAATGAAATAAATGCTCAAAACTCTAAGGGAAAGTTAGTATAAAATCTTCAAATGTTGACATTGTCAATCTTGTCTTTTATCTCCTTGTACTTCTTTGGATTATACTCAGGATCACTCCCATCATCACCATCATTGCCATCATCATCATCTTCTTCGGGATCCATTTCTTCATTAGGGTCTTCGTAAGACTCGTCAGATTCTATACTAATAATTACTGGAGGGCTTGGAGGATTCGTAAGACTCGTCAGATTCTATACTAATAATTTTTGGAGGGCTTGGAGGATTTGGATTAGGAACTACTCTGCATGAGGTGTCTCTTGACTCATTATCTTGCTCCATTGGCTCCCCTTGACTCTCATAAGTTTTCTCAGGTTATGACTTATACATAGAATCATAGTTTTCTGAAGAATAATAAAGTGCATTTTGTTGTGGAGCTTGTGAAGCATTTTGTTGAGGAACTTGATGATTATCAAAGTTATGGTAAGGTGGAGGATAAGCAGCGTATTGAGGGTTAAGATAGATAAATTCTTTGTGAGAAATATAACGGTATAAGTATCTCCAATCTGCTCCCCACTGACCATTAGAGTCTTTATATTTGGTACAATAGCAACACCATTAGGCAAATGAAAATTACGAAAGAGACTCTTAATAGCTTCATAGGGAGGGTAAGTATGTAAGCAATGAACAATCATGGTAGAGACATAGTCAAGTTGGTCAAGATGACGCTATCCAAACACATCAGATCTATAAGAACAGTAAAAACGTATCCTGCGAATATAATCCCAAACATGCTCATAGTCTTTCTTTGCTAAAGTGCCCATGTCAGTGAATCTACTAGGTAATTCAAACATCCTGCAAGGTATTTTGGGTCATGACTCAATAAAGAAAATTCTTTTTCAAACTCAAGTATACAGTTTCTTACAAAAATTTAAGTTTGATGTTCAATCATTTAATTTTGTATTAATTCACAAAAACATGCTTTCACTTAAATACATATCATTATACAACATGCTTAAACACCTTGCATAAATAAAATATACACATAGGAAGACACACAATTCTAGCCTATATGCCCTTTCTTTCCTACCCAATCTCACCACATGATTCCAAATGCAATTAACACATAATTACATACCTTAATTCCTTCGCATACCTGCACACATAATTTTTAAAATCGACCTTTGTTTTCGAAAATTAGTTGCCCGAAATAAAAAAAAAAGTCGGACCCCTCAAAACCTATGAAGAACATGTTTTGCGCACGAAAATCGAAGAATTCTTTTAATCCACTAGATTTAACGGGTTCCTTACGGTAGGTGGTAAAAAACAATTTTTAGAATTTTTTTGGTGGTAAAATAAAAGTTTTAGAAGTTTTGGTTGTAAAAAACAATTTTTTGATTTTTTTGATTTTTTTTATTTTTGATTTTTATTTTTTTGTGGTAAACTAAGAAGGTGATGTAAAGTTGGATAGGATTCGTGAGAAACTAAAGCAAGGAAAAGCTACAGATTTGAAAATTCACGAAGATGGAAGTTTAAGGTACAAGGGTAGATGGTGTGTACCACAAAAATGTGAGGAACTAAAGAAGAAATTGATGGAGGAGGGGCACAATACACCATACACAGTGCACCCTGGAGGGGATAAGTTATATAAGGACTTGAAAAAGGTGTATTGGTGTCCTAGAATGAAGAATGAAGTTGTGGAATTTGTAGCAAAGTGTTTAATCTGTCAAAAGGTGAAAATAGAGCACAAGAGACCTCAAGGAACCGTGCAATCATTAGAATTCCTTGGATGGAAGTGGGATTGTATTTCAATGGACTTTGTGACGTACTTGCCTCCTAAGGTCAAAGAGTGGAAATGATACCATTTGGGTCGTGGTGGATAGACTTACCAAATCCGCAGTGTTCGTTCCAATGAAGGAGGCCTGGAAGATGGAGCAACTTGCAAAAGCTTACATCAAGAATAATGTGAGGTTACATCGAGTTCCAAAAGATATTGTGTCTGACAGAGATTATAGGTTTCTTTCAAAGTTCTGGAAGAGTGTTCAGGAAACTTTGGTACAACACTAAAGATGAGTACAACATTTCACCCTGCCATAGATGGACAAACTGAGAGAACTATTCAAACCTTGGAAGATATGCTGAGAGCTTGTGTCATAGACTTCCAAGGGGTATGGGAAGATATCTTGGACTTAATTGAGTTTTCTTATAATAATAGTTACCATGCGAGCATTGGTATGGCTCCATTTGAGGCATTATAAAGAAGGAAGTGTCGTAACCCTGTGTGTTGGAACGACATAAGTGAAACAATGATCTTAGGGCCTCAAATGATTGAAGATACAGTTAACCAAGTGAAGGAGATTCAAGTAGCACATGACCGTCAAAAGAGTTATGTAGATTTGAAGCGTAGGGAAGAAGAGTTTGAAGTTGGTGACTAAGTATTGTTGAAAGTATCACCAATGAAAGGTGTCATGAGATTTGGGAAGAAAGGAAAACTTAGCCCGAAGTACATTGGTCCATATGAGATATTGCAGAGGATAGGCAAAGTAGCTTATAGGTTGGCCTTACCTATGGAGCTAAGCAAGGTGAATGATGTATTCCATGTGTCTCAATTAAGAAGGTATATACCTAATAAGTCACATGTGCTACAACCTGAAACAATTGAGTTAGATCAAAGCTTAACTTGTGAGGAGAGACCTGTCAAGATTATTGACAGTAAAGTGCATAGTACACGCAATAAGGAAGTTAAGATTGTTAAGGTGTTATGGCCTAACCAAGAATATGAGGAAGCAACTTGGGAAGCTGAGGATAAGATGAAAAAGAAATACCCTGAGTTATTTGAGGTATGTTGAGTCACGGGGACGTAACTCGATTTCTTTAAGGGGGGTAGAATGCAGTAAAATTTGGCGCTTTTTCCCTACATTTTAAGTAATTTTAGTGCTTTTTGCACATTTTTAACAATTATTTCGAGTACTTTTGGTTTTAAGGAGACATTAAAGGTAAAAGTATGTCAAAAGAGTACAACAATACTACACAAAGTGAGGAAAAGATTTTTAAAGTTGGTATTTTCTTACTCATTTGAGTATGAAATTTGATTTTTCGTTACCCAAGTTTCAGGATGAAACTTTTTTTAAGGGGGGTAGACTGTAATACCCCGTATATTTATACGTATATTAATTTAAAATATTATTTTATGAAGTATATATATAATTCGAAATGAATTATTTATGGTATTTTAATAATTTAAAAAGGTTAATTTTAATTAAACATCCATGATTATTTATTTATTTGTTTTGGAAATATTTCATTATATCATTTAAAAACTTTGGGGCGTATTTAATTTTTAATAAGGAAGTTTTAAAGTCAATGGAGTTTTAAAGAAAGTCAAATGCTAATTAGAATGGGAGTAGGAATTATTAAGGGTAGAAAGAAAATTAAGTTAGGAGGGTTTTGAGACAGAGTATAAATACCCATCTTATGAGCAAATTAAACTTTGTCCAAGGTGAAAAATACCCAAAGGTAAACTCTCTTTCTCTCTCCTCTTATTTTTCTTTCCTCCTTCCTCTTCACTCACCTCACACGCACACCACCACCACTACCGGTGGTCGGCTGCCACCACCACCACAGCCGGCCACCGCCAGCACGGAGTGGTAGTAGTAGCAGCAGCCGCAGGAGGTGGCGCATCGGCCACTTTCCCCTCCCTCTTTGCATGCGTGTGGTTGTGTTTAAAAAAAAAACTTCTCCTTTTGTATTTAATTCAATCTAGCTTTGATTAATTATTGATTTTGGGTGTGTGTGTGTGATGATTTTATGATGTTTTAATAATGATTAATATGTATATAATTTTCAGATTTGGTTTTTGAATTAAAAAGCTCCAAATGGTTAAACCTAGGTTTCTAAATTGATGTTTATTGATGGAATTTGATTGTGTTTGATTAAAACTATTGAAATTAATGTTTTAAAACTAAATTACAACAAGTTTAAGAGTTTTTATTATGTTGGAATTTTTAAGTAGAGGCTAGAATTAAGTTTTCTTGAAGGTATTTTAATTATTTATTAATTGGGAATAAAGTAGGTGGTTTTAATTAATTTTCAGCATGTTTTAGAAGGTTAAAAAGTGTTTTAAAGAGTGTATATATTGCTGGAAATTTATTATGAACGGGTAATAATGTCTCTTTGTAATTTTGGGTTGTAGGAGACTTCCAAGTGAGTGATTTTGTGTAGTTGTGGCGATTTTGAGATCATATTTGAGGTACGTTCGCGTACTTGGCAATTATTTAAGTGTGCAGAAGCATGCTAGAATTTGTTTAATTAATTCCAAGTTAGTATCATGATAGGTATTGGTTGGAATTATTAGTTAGATGGATTTTGGTGATTGAATTGTAAAGCATGAATTGTTTGAAGGGAATTATGGATTAGAATTAATTATGTTGGCATGTTGAATATGGACCACACTTTTATTATTGGCATGACCAAGAGCATGCTTAATTAAACTAAATGTTTAATTTGGTTTGGAATATAAAAAGGGAATTTTATTATGGTTCATATAATTTTTATTGATGCTATAAGCATGAGAAATGAGCTATGTAAGTGTCTATGTACACGAGGATTAATTTATATTTTGGAGCCTAAGTGCAGTTAAGGTGCTCCAAACATCGAGGGATAGGATTTATGGTGCATTATGCGCTTAAGGTGTTATTTAATGCCGTGATAGTTTAAAAAGGGT